CTGGTGCAAGGTGGCCGTGATTGGTCGAGAGCAGGTGACGACAGACATACTGGAGCACTCGCACCTGAGGGGGACTTGCACGGACGATGGCCGGGACTGGGACTGTGAGGTGAGATGGCAAACTAGTGGAGTGCTCACCTCACTGGTAAACTAGTGGAGTGAGGGAAGAATCAATAGGACGATTGCAGTGCAGCAGGGCACAACAGGCAGTCGAGATTAGAGAAGGAGGAACAGGCTGCTGTGCAGCTGAGAGGAACAGGCTGCTGTGCAGCTGAGAGGAACAGGCTGCTGTGCAGCTGAGAGGAACAGGCTGCTGTGCAGCTGAGAGGAACAGGCTGCTGTGCAGCTGAGAGGAATGGGCTGCTGTGCAGCTGAGAGGAACAGGCTGCTGAGAGGGATTCCGGCTGTCAGCTAGGTTGTTTTATTCTCGTAGTTGTTGTTACACACCTTATTTGACAGATGCTGCCAAATGGCTTGAGAGTGTTGATGGCATTCTAAAGTGCTTGCTTGGATGGATCATGAGGGGAGTTTTTAGTCGACTCAAATGTTACCTTGGATCGATTATGAGTGCTCGGATGCATGAAGAAGCGTGTTTTGAGTTGACTCGTGTTTGAGTCGACTCAAAACACGAGTCGACTCATGAGTCACCTTGGATGGATTATGAGTCCACATCTGTGGGACATGGCCATAAGGCATGGCCATAAGGCATGGCCATAAGGCATGGCCATAAGGCATGGCTATAAGGCATGGCTATAAGGCATGGCCAATAAGGCATGGCCATAAGGCATGGCCATAAGGCATGGCTATAAGGCATGGCCATAAGGGCGCGTCCCCTCCCTCGATCGATCACGAGATCGCCGTGAAAAACCGATCGGGCACACCAATCGCAGGATTGGGGCGGGATTGGTAGGAGGTAACAGTCGCGGATCGATCCCGAGCCCTGGGTGACAGGATCGAAAATACAAGGGGGAAGAACTCTCGATCCTACAAAAGCCGAGATCGGTGTGGCCACAAAGGCACATCGATCGTCATCAGCGGAGGTGACAAGATCGTTGGGCACCAGTTACTGTACATTCGCAAGCCATCTCGAAATCGGGTTACTCGGTCAATTGCGACACTGTAGGTGTCCCTCGATCGATCGAGGGCAGGATCGATCGAGGGAGGGGATGCGCCCTAAGGCATGGCCATAAGGCATGGCCATAAGGCATGGCCATAAGGCATGGCCATAAAGCATGGCCATAAGGCATGGCCGTAAGGCATGGCCATGCCTTCGTAGAACCTCTCAAAGACACACTCTGCTCTGACTTCTTCCAATGCAGATCCTTCATGCATGTGCAAATGTCTGCATGCTTGTGTGTGTGTGTGTGTGTGTGTGTGTGTGTGTGTGTGTGTGTGTGTGTGTGTGTGTGTGTGCGCGCGCGCGTGCGTGCATCTGTGCCTCTGAACATGCCTCCATGCACAGGTGCGGGGATTGGGGGGCACCCTGGTCATCCCCACGTGCTCGGTCGGCGAAGAAAACCTCCTGCGCTGCCCAAAGGATCGGTACAGGGAGGAGAGCATTCTGGTGCATGAGTTTGCACACACGGTGATGGAGGTATGCTGCCATGCATGCATGCGTTTCCATGCGACCATGCATGCATGAGTTTGCACACATGGTCATGGAGGTGTGATGTCATGCATGCACGCATGCCTGTTTGTCACACGTGAACACCCGTGATGATCAAGGTTGGCTTTGTGCCACTCAGACAGTGGCAGCACTTTTCCCTTGCACCACTCTCGCAGTAATTTCCGATTGCTTTTGTGCATGGATAAAGTGCATGCACCCTCAGAGCGTTTGACGGATTTGTGAAGCACTGGTATTGGCAAGCATGCATGCTCACATGCATGGGTGCATTGGCATCTGGCCTCCATATGTACTCATGGTGCTGCTCGTGTTTTCCATGCATGACTCACCCTTAGTGTCTTTTGTTGACATGGCATGTGTGGATGTATGTATCTATGTATGCATGCATGCGTGATCTCTTCTTCTGTATGACAGGTGGGGTTCGATGAGTCCCTGATGCACCGAATCTCCCAGTGCTTCCAGCGGTCCAAGGTAGTTTTGCACATCCAAACCCAACCCCACCCTGTTCATGCAGCAGCTGAATCCATGTCGTGCTGGTCATTTGTCAGATACTTGTCTCCATCCACTCTAAGCAGTTGTTTTCCACCCTGCTGTTCCCATTCCCATGCATGTGCCGGTAGTTACCGTCCAGTTTTTCCAGCTTGTTCATCCATTTTACACTCTTCTTTTGTCCCTAATGGCCTCCTTTCCTGCTCTCCCTCCCAATCAGCACCTCTATCCATCGACTGCATACATGGTGGCAAACAAAGAAGAGTATTGGGCAGAGGGTAGCCAGTCGTGGTTCAATGCCAGCGTGCGTGTAGATGTAAATGGTGGAGTAAATAATCGTGAACGATTAATTGAGCACGACGCAGAGCTTGCCCAGCTGTTACAGGAAGCTTATGGGGATGGAAATTGGAGATATGATTTCACCCCTATCAATGTGCCTTTACCTAGTACCAAGGACACAAGGCTTCCAAAGTTATGAGCGTTTTTAGAATCATTTTTCAGCTGAGTTGTTTCTGGAACCTTAGTAAGAAAGCACTGTAGTACTGCACACCTCGTACTTTCAAGAGCGTGGTTGGGTGGGCCCTGAGAATCTGCTGGACGGGCAACAGAATCCACTGTTGACAGCTCATGGACCTTTGTTTGACGTCATCGGGGCACCAGAGCTGCACGACATCAAATTGCTTCAAGCCTCTTTGAACAGTTTGGTTGCGAATTTTAGAGAAATTTGTTTCTACTGTACAAAAACCAGAGTCAGCTCTACACTGAGCAGCTCCATTGTCTCTCATCACATGCGAACTTTTCCTGCCCAAGAAATACGACCATCTTACCACCATGTGCTCCGTGAGATCTTTATGTCCTTTTCCTGGAGTCATGGGATTGGGCTGTTCGGTCCTCGTCACCTCGCACCTCCATCTCCACCTCAACATAGTTTAGCATTTCCCACAAGTCGTTAACCAATGAAACAGCAGGTTTATGCCAGCACAGCTTTTCCACAGAGTTGCACGAACCTGGCTACAGTGAAAAGGGGACTCGTTCGGGTTTCGGTAAAATATGGTGGGTTCGGCTCTTGTGTTTCTGAGAAAATGTTGTTCTGTTTCTGGCATCCCGGAATTGTGCAGACTGACGAAGCACCCTTGTACAGAAATAAGGACGTGGGCCCAATCGTGTTTGATCGCGACTGCTCTGATCGGGTCGGATCTGATCGGGTTGCTCGTGATCGCATTTCCCGAGCCGCCCGATCAGCGGATGTTTTCGTAGAACATTTTCGTAGGCCCAATTACCTGGCATTGTCGGCCTAAGACTGGCGACCAGACGCCACCTGGCGTAATATCGTAAACCCCGCTCCGCACAGTGAGGGTTTGACGAGACCTAGTAATACAATGTAACCATTCGCAAGCATCGCTGTGGTCCCCGATCATATACAATCAGTTGATCGTCTGTGATCGAGGAAAATCGGCTGAGCTCGGGGTGAAAGTCGGGTCTGATCGAGTTGGGGCGATCAGCTGATCGTGATCAGCTGATTGCCCCCGATTGCTTGAATTTGGCTTCCAGGCCTCCTGGAAATTATTGATCTTGGCTGATCGAGGCGATCAAACCCGATTTGGACTCGGTCCTAAAGTTCGGGTGACGGTTCCCAACGCTTCAGTACACTTGAAACTAAATTGCCCTGACTCTGGTCGTCAAGAGGTGCTGGGAATGGGTACCCCTTGAAAAACGAACGAATAGTTTCTCCTCTCTTGTTGCTTCCCAAATCGTTATTCCTAACCTAAAGTACCTGGTTCGGAAATCGGGACTCAAGGCCCAAATTGTTCAGGATTACTAAAGTTGACCCTTGGGTGGTGGGAAAGCAGAGTAGGAAAGTCGAGGTGTTTGAGGGGTGTAGGGGTTTGGTTTCGCCCAGCTTCTCGCCACACTCAAAACAAAATTCGCTGACTCAGCAAAGCCTAGGGGACGCTCAGGTTTGGTTGCGCGAGTCCCATATTGCACAAATATTACTCTTGCCAGTTTCCCGCACCACCTGTTCCATTCGCTGACTCAAATGTTCTGGCGAATCAGATGGCTTCGTACATTTCGTAACCACAATTCGCCCAGCTAAAGCTGCAAAGCAGCACTCGATCAACCTTACTAAACTTGCCTCGCGCGGCCCGCAATTTGGGCCTAAACCACATTTTTACACTCTCATCAAACTGAGGCTGGGGACTTTACCTGTGGAGCGTTTGGTCAGTGATTAGTGATGGCAAAACTGCACCTGCCTGATGCATACCATACGCTCTCTCAATAACTTCATTCCTGTTGCTACTATGCGAGCGAAGAACCACGCACGGGAACCACTGTATGTATCTTCTGCATCGTGACGCTTCTGCGACCATTCTAAAACGCCACATTGCTTCAATAGCAGGTTTCGTAGAGCCAGTTACGGCGGTCGTTACCTTGTTTTGATGCTCGAGTCGGAGTTAGGAAAGCTAGCACGTGTGTCAGGGACAACAGAGTAAGCTGCGGTAGAGATGGATTAACCTCGCCACCACGTTCGAGTCGATGTGCGTCGCGTACTGACTGTACTAGTTCAATTAGGTTTTTGAGGCGTCTCAGAAACAGACGATTTTCGGTGTAGAACACTTATTAATCCTCCGGGAACATTTACTATGGAACCCTTCGATGATTCGCGACAGTGTCGGCAAGCTCTTATCGTGTGCGATCCTGGTGACATTTGAGTGAACGATAAGTCTCGTGATCATCCTACGATCCAGCCTAAGTTCCACCATCTATTCCAGTTCATATCAGGCGCCTCAGGGTTAAGCTTTTAGTTCTGCTCTTGTTATTGACTTTAACGATTTCCATTGTCGAAGATTGTCAGTAGTCCGTGAAAGAGGCGCACCCTTCCGCCGCGATGGGCGCGCAGCAGTCCGCGCATCATGGCCGCGGAGGCGTCAAGCTCCGCCGCCGCTCGAGCGGAATGGGCGGAATGACTCCGCACGAGCTGCAGTCGGCGGGAACCGACATCTCGCACGCCGTCGCGCAAAACCAGGTTCTGCAGCAGCAGCGCGCGGAGCACCAGCAGCGTCTTGCGCAATCGCCGCAGGTGAAGGCGCAGGGGCAAGCGCAAGCGCAATCTCCGCTCGCGCAGCAATCACAAGGCGGAAGCCCTTTGGGAGGGACTGGCGCGGGCAGCGGCGGAGGGGGAAGCGCCGGAGGTGCGCCTGGCGTACCTCCGCGGGACTTTTCCGTAGGTTCGGAGTCGCGACGCCGAACCAAGGTGTCAGCTTTGGAGGTGCCGCCGTGGGAGATCGTGGCGCATCTGACGGAGAGCGATTGGATCGCGCTTAAGGCGTGGATCGAAGCGGGTTGGAGGTGAGCGGATAAACGTTGCGATTAGATAAATATACTTTATTGTTTACACAAAATTACTACGGCCGGGGAGGGGTCAAGAGAAAAAGTGTTTGCAAGCCGAGGGTGGCATGCGAGGAGTTGGAGCGAGGTGTAGAGGCCATTAAGGCGGATACGTCGAGAAGGAAAGGGTCCTGCTTCGATTGGCGATTGCGATAGTCATGGCTTGGTGCGCTCCTCGCACCAGTGGCAGGTAGCGTGGTGCTGCGAAGTTTCGCTTGACGATCTCACATCGCGCGTTTTGACAACGTATAATCGCGTTTGTGGGCGACTGAGAACGACTGCGGGCCTTAAGCTTTTAGGTCTAGGTCGGAAACGCGGAGAAGGAAGGAACCTTGGAGGCGTTGAAACGTGTGGGATGGCGTTTGGGCTAGTCGTGCGTTGGTGCGCACCACGTTAACGGCAAGGCAGGCATCGCTCGCGGGCGATTGTGGGCCTCGATAGAGGTCACGGCCTCAATTTAGGTCAAGCCTGCACGCATTGACAAGCGTGAACTGATCCTGGTTCGCGTCGCAGAAGGTGAGCGTTTCGCCGCGCGTCTTAACAGCTCTGTGAGTGGCCGCTGGTCAAGAGGAAACAGAGGAAGGTGGACCGCAAACCAATGTTATTGGACGGAAACGGATTGCGTAAGTGCAATGGCGCGTCAGAATATAACAGGAAAATAATGTGTTGGTGCGATTCGAACAGGCATGCTGTAACCCGCCATTTCCCCATTCCCCCATCCCCCCAGGTGCCGCAAGTGCGGGCACCTGCGCGACGACGGCGCGGACCACCCCAAGACGCTGGCGCTGCTGCACCGCTGCGGAATCGTCCCCCCGCACCAGCACCCGCACCTCCCCGCGCACACCCTCTCCCACACCTCCTCCGCGCCCGGCTCCCCCAGTTCCACCCAATCCGGAGCTGCCAGGTGGCAGCAGCAGCAGCAAGGTGGGGGTCAGGGGTCGGGGCATCCCCCCTATGGTGTTGTGGAATATTCGAAACCGTCTCCTGACGCGCAGATGGAATTTTTATCTGACCATTCCGGGGGACGGAGTTCCCGAGGTGGGTCGCCCAGCCACCCGATGCTCCGCACCGGAACGGGCGGCAGGTCGTTGTCTTATATGGGCTCGCCTGGGCGACAGCACGGGGCGATGAGCGGGGGAATGGGCGGGGGAATGGGAGGGGGAGTGGGAGGGGGGGAAGGGGCGGGCATGGGGAGAATGAGCCAGTCATCGCATTATGGGCCGGATTACAGTGTGAGGGGCATGGGGAGAGACGGTATGGGTGGCGGAGGCGGCGGAATGGGCGGCGGAATGGGCGGAGCAGGGGGAATGGGTGCTCCGGACGCTTGCCCCAGACACCTTGCCCAACCCCACCACCTCATGAGCGGCGAGGGGCCTGTCAGCAGAAGCTTCCACGAGAGTTCCTCTTGGGAGATGCGGAGAGGAGGGGGAGGGGGGATGGGCGTGGAAGGGGGAGGCGCGGGGGGAGTGGCGGGGGGAATGGGCGGAGCGGCGGGGATGGGGGGAGGGGCAGGGGGGATGGTGGGGGGACCGCAGCGGCCGTTGATGCGGACGATGAGCATGTCTGAGGCACTGCAGCGGAAGCTGCTTGCTGCTATCACTCGCGCACACCAAGTGTACTTCATTGATAAGGTGCGTGTGGTGGGCAGTGAGGCACGTTGATAAGGTGAGGGGCAAAAGGTGGTGAAGGGTCTTAGAGCCACTTGAGGGGAAGCTGCTGTCTGCTATCACTCGCGCCCACCAAGTGTACTTGATTGATAAGGTGAGTGGTAAAGGGAGGTGAAGGGCAGTGACGAGCGGTGAAAGGCGGTGAAGGGCGTGTAGAGGAAGTTGTTCACTGCTATCATTCACGCACATCAAGTGTACTTTATTGATAAGGTGAGCAGCGTGGTGGAGGGCGGCAAAGGCCGGTGAAAGGCGTGTAGAGGCACTTGAGGGGAAGCTGCTGTGCTTTGTTGACAAGGTGGGTAGGTGGGTAGGCGGGGCGCGCCAAGCGTGTTTCATTTATACGGTGGGTTCGGAGGCCGGTGAAGCCCGTGCTCTGTTCACACGGGCGGTGCTGAGCGTGCTGCTGCATGCATCATGGCAAAAGGCGGTTGCTGGCATGGTCCTTGGCATGATCTCTCTGCTGCGAGCCATCCTGGCCATTGTCCTGTGCGAATGGGGTCCTTGCTGGCAGTTTCACTCGTTTCCCTTCACCACCCTTGCCCCTTCACCACCCTTGCCCCTTCCCTAACTGCCCCTCTGCTCCCCTCGCCTCCCCTCGCCTCCCCTCGTTTTTCCCCCATCCGACAACTTCCGTCCCCTCCTCTACCATCCATACCCCGCCCCGCCCATCCCGCAGGAGCCCAACGGCAGCCTCGTGTTTGACTACCTGCTCTCCGCACTGCTGGAGGTCACCAACTCCAGCTCGGAGACTCATCCCCCTTCCCTCTCTCTCATACCTTCCCCTCTATCTATTCCCCTGCCCTTCCCCCCTCTCCCATCTCCTCCCCACTTCTCCCCCGCAGGAGCCCAACGGCAGTCTGGTGTTTGACTACCTGCTGTCTGCGCTCCTGGAGGTGACCGAGTCCAGCTTTGGCTTCATCTCCTCCGCTCTGCTCAAGGCCGATGGCACGCCCTACCTCAAGGTGCTGTTCGGTGATGGGCGCTGGGATGGACTCGGCCTGTGTGGAGTGTGTGTGGGGCGTGGGGTGTGTCTGCCTTATACCTGCTGAGCTTCGAGGCCCGGGCTGTGTGCTGGGCCGGACTGAAATGCCGTTTAACACCCGCTGTTCCTCAAGCACCCGCTGTTCCTCAAGCACCCACTGTGCTGGGCCGGCCTGAAATGCCGTTTAACACCCGCTGTTCCTCAAGCACCCACTGTGCTGGGCCGGCCTGAAATGCCGTTTAACACCCGCTGTTCCTCAAGCACCCACTGTGCTGGGCCGGCCTGAAATGCCGTTTAACACCCGCTGTTCCTCAAGCACCCACTGTGCTGGGCCGGCCTGAAATGCCGTTTAGCACCCGCTGTTCCTCAAGCACCCACTGTGCTGGGCCGGCCTGAAATGCCGTTTAACACCCGCTGTTCCTCAAGCACCCACTGTGCTGGGCCGGCCTGAAATGCCGTTTAACACCCGCTGTTCCTCAAGCACCCACTGTGCTGGGCCGGCCTGAAATGCCGTTTAACACCCGCTGTTCCTCAAGCACCCACTGTGCTGGGCCGGCCTGAAATGCCGTTTAACACCCGCTGTTCCTCAAGCACCCACTGTGCTGGGCCGGCCTGAAATGCCGTTTAACACCCGCTGTTCCTCAAGCACCCACTGTGCTGGGCCGGCCTGAAATGCCGTTTAACACCCGCTGTTCCTCAAGCACCCACTGTGCTGGGCCGGCCTGAAATGCCGTTTAACACCCGCTGTTCCTCAAGCACCCACTGTGCTGGGCCGGCCTGAAATGCCGTTTAACACCCGCTGTTCCTCAAGCACCCACTGTGCTGGGCCGGCCTGAAATGCCGTTTAACACCCGCTGTTCCTCAAGCACCCACTGTGCTGGGCTGGGACCGGGATGATATGGCCGCTCGCCTGAGAGAGTCTGCGTATCTGGGGCCAGTGTTACGTGCCCGCACGGCGCTGCAGTGCTGTCAGGGACTCACTCTTGCACGCTCGCTCCCTCCATTCTCCCTTCCTTGCTCCGTCCCTTCAACAATTCCCCCTGCCTTCCCCCGGCTCACCCCACCCCTTGTGCAGACGCATGCAATGACGAACGTGGCATGGACCAAGGAGCTGCGGGCATGGTACGCGGCGAACGCGCACAAGGGCCTCGTGTTCACCAACATGAACACGCTGCACGGAGCTGTCGTGCTCACGGGGCAGCAGGTTCTCTCCAACGACGCCCGCAACGACCCGCGGGCGAGAGGAGTGCCGCCCGGCCACCCTGTGATCGAGAAGTTCATGGGCATCCCGCTCTATACAGGTGGGTTTTACATAGGGTGTGGTTGGGTGCGGTGGGGTGTGGGAGGGAGGAGACAGGGGGACAGGGGGGAAGGTAGTAGAGTTGGGTGCACAAGGGGCGCGTGTTCACCAGCATGAACACGCTGTGGGGCGCGTGTTCACCAGCATGAACACGCTGCACGGCGCTGTTGTGCTCACGGGCCAGCAGGTTCTCTCCAACGACGCCCGCAACGACCCGCGGGCGAGAGGAGTGCCGCCCGGCCACCCTGGGATTTCACTGAGAAGTTCATGGGCATCCCGCTGTATACAGGTGGGTGAGAGGAAGGGGGAGAGGGGTGGCTGGCAGGAAGGGGTGCTGACGGACGGGCCAGCAGGTGCTCTCCAACGACGCCCGGAATGACCCGCGTGCGAGGGGAGTGCCGCCTGGCCACCCTGTGATTGAGAAGTTCATGGGTATCCCGCTGTACACAGGTGGGTGAGAGAGGGTGGGTATGTGTGTGGAAGGTGGGGGGGAAGGGAGGATGAAGGGGGGGTGAAGGATAGGTGTGTGAAGGGAAAGAGGAGAGAGGTGGCTATCAGGAAGCAAGGTTATCAGGAGAAGGGGTGCTGACGGGGCAGCAGGTGGTCTCCAATGAGCTCGCAATGACCCCCGCACCAGAGCAGTGCCGCCTGGCCACCCTGTGATCGAGAAATTCATGGGCATTCGCTTTATACTGGTGGGTCATTGAGTGGGTGTGGTTGAGTGTGGGAGGGAGGTGAGAAAGGGACAGGGAACAGGGGGTAGAGATGCCTTGACTGGCATTTACTCGTGTTGTTCACCAAAATGTACACACTGCATGGTGCTGTGGTGCTGGCGGGGCGGGGCAGCAGGCACTCTCTCCAACGACGCTCGTAGTGACCTGCACGCGAGGAGTGCCGACTGCAAGGGTACGACAAGTAGCCGGTGAAGGACATTGATTCAACCTCCCATTGTTCTCCGTTCACCCTTTCCCTGTGCAGGCACGGAGCTGATTGGGATCTTCGGAATGGTGAATCGACTCCAAGGGTACGACGAGCAGCTGGTGAACGAGATTGAAGCCTCTTCTTTTTTCCCCTCTTCTCCCCCATATACCCCACGTACTACGCCCCTCCCCCCCGCTCTCCCCTGTGCAGGCACGGAGCTGATAGGGATATTCGGGGTGGCCAATCGCCTGCAGGGGTACGACGAGCAGCTGGTGAAGGAGATTGAGCCGCTGACGATGACAATTGCTCAGATGATCTACGCGGTGAATGAGCGGAAGAGGAGAAAGGAGGCTGAGCTGCACCTGTCCAGCGTTGTGCAGGTGAGGAATGGGGGAGAGAGAGATTGAGCGAGTGTGCGCATCAGATCACAGTACAGTACAGCGCAGCACGGCACAGCACAGCACGGCGCGGCGCGGCGCAGCACGGCGCGGCACGGCACGCGGCACAGCACAGCACAGCATGGCACGGCACAGCACAGCACAGCACGGCACAACACAGCACGGCACGGCACAGCACAGCACGGCACAGCACGGCACAGCACAGCACGGCACAGCACAGCACGGCACAGCACGGCACAGCACAAGCACCAACGGAGCTGCTGCTGCTGCTGTTCCTGCCTCTCACTCTCTATTGCCCAACCCCCCAATCCCCCACTCACCTTATCCTCATGACCCCCCGCCAGGTGGCAAAGGAGGGAATCATGTCGCTCTCTCACAGTGGCCATGTCACATCCATGAACCTCTCTCTGTCTCTGCCTCCCAATCCCACACTCCCCGCCACCTCAGGTGGCCAAGGAGGGCATCATGTCGCTCTCTCACAGCGGCCACGTCACATCCATGAACCTCTCAGCACGGCAGATGTTTGGCTACTCGCCCACCCCCTCCGACACCAACGGCAGCAGCAGCACCAACGGCACTGCTGCTGCTGCTGTGGCGGCGGGGGGCAGCATCATCAGCCGTGACAGCAGCAACGTCACGCCGCCGCCCAATCTGCAGTTCCAGGATCTGATGGTGGAAATCAACGGCCAGCGAGACTTTTTGGCACGAGGTGAGATGGCGGATGGGTAGGGTGGATACATGCTATGCTATGCTACTAGCCATGTGAATTTTACTTTTGGGAATTCTCAAAAGTAAAATTCACATAGATGGATAGGGTGGATACATGCTATGCTATGCTACTAGCCTAGCTGCTCTGCAGTTCCAGGATTGCATGGTGGAGATCAACGGCCAGAGAGACTTTTTGGCACGAGGTGTGAGGTGGGGGAGAGGGGGAATGTGGAATGGGGGAAGGGGAAGAGGGGAGAGGGGAAGGGGAAGAAGTGGACGAGCATGAAGTCACAGTGCTCCTCTGCTTTGCACACGCACACTCACTCACACACATTCGCACTTGAAGTGGAAGGAAGCGCACTGTGACTTTGTGCTCGCTCTCTCGCACCTTCTTCTGCCACGAATCCTGTTCTGATGCGACTCAAAAGCCTCATCATACATCCTGCTTTCAATACCTTGCTTCTGTTGCACACAGGCCTGGACGCGGCGAGTGGCAAGGTGCACAAGGGCATCGGCAGGCGGGTGGATGGCAGCACGTTCCCTCTGGAGGTGTCGGTCTCCAAGGGCACGTACGACACGGTCTTCTATGTGGCCGTGCTGCGAGACATCTCTGAGAGGCTGGACGCCGAGAAGAAGCTCAAGGTGGGTCCCTTCCTTAGGTTGGCTGTGGTTTGGATTGGGCACCTCTGGAGGTGTCGGTAACCAAAAACTCTTGACACCGTCTTCTATGTGGCCGTTCTGAGGGATATTTCAGAACGGCTGGACGCTGAGAAGAAACTCAAGGTGAGCGGCATGAGAGCATGGCTAATGCTACGAGAGAGACAACTGCAGGCGTGTGGGCGATTGGACGGCAGCACGCTCCCACTAGAGGTGTCTGCGTCAAGGGAATGTATGACACGGTGTTCTATGTGGCCGTGCTGAGGGATATTTCAGAATGGCTGGACGCTGAGAAGAAGCTCAAGGTGGGTCCACCGAGTTGTTGTGGGAGCGTGGGAGCGTTGGAGCCCTTGCTTGAATATCAAGCCAGTCTCCAAGCCTCCAAGGGCACGTATGACACCGTCTTCAAGGTTGGTTTGATGGGTTGGGTTGGGTTGAGTGTATATTGGGTGGGGTTGGAGCGGACCGTTGCAATTCGCACCCACTTCGCCGTGGGCAGTGGTGGCAGTGATGGTGCAGTGTATGTTTTTTGAGAATTCTCAAGAGACCGGATCTTCTCGATCAGCAACCTCTCTCACCACTTGTCCCTTTTTACCACACAAACACCCCTCCTTGCCCCCCTCTGACACACACATCGCATGCGCGAGCAGGAGAGCGAGGAGCGATGGCTGTACGCGCTGTCAGGCAGCGACGACGGCGTGTGGGACTGGATGTCCTTGATCTACAAGCCCTTACCGCTTCTCCCCTGTACCACCCCACACACACATCGCATGTGTGAGCAGGAGAGCGAGGAGCGATGGCTGTACGCCCTGTCAGGCAGCGACGACGGTGTGTGGGACTGGAACGTGCGCGACAACACCATGTTCTTCTCCGACCGCTGGAAACAGATGCTCGGGTGAGTGCAGTGGGTTTGATTTGAACACAGGGTAGCTTGTGGTGTTGAAGCAAGCGTGCTGACGTTGCATGAACGTGGGACTGGAACTTGCGAGACAACACAACACCATGTTCTTCTCAGACCGATGGAAGTAGATGCTGGGGTGAGTGCTGCACGTTCGGGGGTGAGTGCTGCACGTTCGGGGGTGAGTGAGTGGAGTGGGTTTGAATCTGAACGTAAGAGTGGCTTGTGGTGTTGAAACAAGCACGTGGGTGTGGCAACAGCTTGGGACTGGAACGTGCGCGACAACACCATGTTCCTCTCCGACCGATGGAAACAGATGCTGGGGTGAGTGCAGGGCAGTAGCTGATAACATGCTGGGTTGAGTGCAGGGCAGTAGCTGATAACATGCTGGGGTGAGTGCAGGGCAGTAGCTGATAACATGCTGGGGTGAGTGCAGGGCAGTAGCTGATAACATGCTGGGGTGAGTGCAGGGCAGTAGCTGATAACATGCTGGGGTGAGTGCAGGGCAGTAGCTGATAACATGCTGGGGTGAGTGCAGGGCAGTAGCTGATAACATGCTGGGGTGAGTGCAGGGCAGTAGCTGATAACATGCTGGGGTGAGTGCAGGGCAGTAGCTGATAACATGCTGGGGTGAGTGCAGGGCAGTAGCTGATAACATGCTGGGTTGAGTGCAGGGCAGTAGCTGATAACATGCTGGGGTGAGTGCAGGGCAGTAGCTGATAACATGCTGGGGTGAGTGCAGGGCAGTAGCCGTTAACATGCTGGGGTGAGTGCAGGGCAGTAGCTGATAACATGCTGGGGTGAGTGCAGGGCAGTAGCTGATAACATGCTGGGGTGAGTGCAGGGCAGTAGCTGATAACATGCTGGGGTGAGTGCAGGGCAGTAGCTGATAACATGCTGGGGTGAGTAGATCGCGGTAGCTTGGGGTGTTCCAGAGAGCATGCTGACTGGAACGTGCGTGACAACACCATGTTCCTCTCCGACTGATGGAAACAGATGCTGGGGTGAGTGGACTGTTCATGAGCACAGTACAGGGTAGGGTGGCGTTCAGCATGGAGAAGAGTTTGGGTTGACAACCTGCTTATCACTCCTAGCGTTTGTCCTAGAGTGCCTTGATGCCGTTGAACCTTCTAATTACCGAATTGGCTGCCCTTCTCCACACGCAGAGGACAAGGACTGCGCGTATGCAAGCCTCAAGAATCATATGAATTACTTCGCATTCCTCCTTTCCCGCCTTCGCCTCCTCCCTCTCCTCGCGCCTCCTCCCTCTCCTCGCGCATTCTCCCCACTTCCTCTCCCACCCAACCCCCCAGCTACGAGCCTGGACAAATTGGCTCCAGAGGACAAGGACAGGGCTTATACACCCTCGTCACCCCAAGTCCTCGTCTTCCCCCCCCCCCATTCCTCACAGCTACGAGCCTGGCGACATAGGGTCAACACTGGACGAGTGGGATCGCCTGTTGCACCCAGAGGACAAGGACAGGGCGTATGCTGATCTCAAGGAGCATCTGCTGTAACACCCCCCTTCTCCTCCCCTCTTCCCATTCATCCTCCCTCTCCCCCACCCCAGCTACGAGCCTGGCGACATAGGGTCGACGTTGGACGAGTGGGATCGTCTGTTGCACCCAGAGGACAAGGACAGGGCTTATGCTGATCTCAAGGAGCATCTGGACGGTGTGACTGCTCAGTTTGTGAACGAGCAACGGCTCAGATGCAAGGACGGCAGCTACAGGTGAGATGGAAGGCGAGTGAACGGCTCAGACGCAAGGAGGGAGGCCAAGTAGCTAGACGCAGCCAATGCTGACGCATCATAGATGCTGGGCGCGTTGCAGGCCCTCAGAGCGTCTGTCGCCCATCCAGTGCGTCTGTCGCCCATCCAGTGCGTCTGTCACCCATCCAGTGCGTCTGTCACCCATCCAGTGCGTCTGTCACCCATCCAGTGCGCCTGTCACCCATCCAGTGCGCCTGTCACCCATCCAGTGCGCCTGTCACCCATCCAGTGCGCCTGTCGCCCACCCAGTGCCTCGCTCGCTTGCGTCCCACCACCTCCCCCAGTTGGTTCCTGCATCGCGGCAAGGTGCTGAGCAAGACGGAGGACGGGGAACCGCTGCGGTTTGTGGGCACGCACACAGACATCACGGAGAGGAAGATGTTCGAGCAGGGCATGGTGCAGGCTAAGGACGAGGCTGAACGGGCTTCACAAGCTAAAGCAGGTGTGTGAGGAGGGAGGGCTGGAAGAGTGGGGTGGTAATCGTGGGTGCACACGGGTTTGTGGGTTTGTGGGTTCACCCACGGACATCACAGAGAAGAAGATGCTCGAGCAGGGCTTGGTGCAGGCTAAGGACGAGGCTGAACGGGCATCGCAGGCCAAAGCAGGTGAGCATCTGGCCGGTGATGGCACATGCACACATGCACATACGCACACATGCCCATACGCACGCGCACGAGTACACACACATGCACATAAGCACATGTGCACCCTGTCATCATGTTGAGAAAGGTGTTTGAATGGTCCAAGTAGATAGAGACACAGCTCCAGATCTCGCCATCTAACTTGATGTCCCTCGTTTCCCTTGTGCAAACCCCCGGCCTCCAGACTTCCTCGCCACCATGAGCCACGAGATCCGCACCCCCATGAGCCACGAGATCCGCACCCCCATGAGCCACGAGATCCGCACCCCCACGAGCCACGAGATCCGCACCCCCATGAGCCACGAGATCCGCACCCCCATGAGCCACGAGATCCGCACCCCCATGAACGGAAGTGGTGGGCGGGCGTGACAGCACTGCTCCTGGACACCGATTTAACCCCAGAGCAGCGCGACCGTGTGGTGACTATTAGAGATTCGGGCGACATGCTGCTGCAGATCATCAACGACATCCTCGACTACTCCAAGATCACACGCTCTTCAACTCACTATCCCCGCCCGCTCCCTCTTTTCCCCCGTCCGTTGCAGATTTCCTCGCCACCATGTCCCATGAAATCAGGACGCCTATGAACGGCGTGGTGGGCATGACAGCGTTGCTCCTGAACACCGACCTGACCCCAGAGCAGAGGGATCGGGTGGTTACCATACGGGGTTCAGGAGACATGCTGCTGCAGATCATCAACGACATTCTCTTGACTAGTCCAAGATCGAATCACCTTGTCACTCCCCTTGTCCCTCCCCTTGTCACTCCCCTTCACTCCCCTTGTCACTCCCCTTGTCCCTCCCCCTCCCCTCTGACGTGCAGATGTCCTCGCCACCATGTCCCACGAGATCAGGGCTCCAAGGAACGGCGTGGTGGGCATGACAGCGTTGCTCCTCGACACAGACCTCACACCAGAACAGCGCGACCGAGTAGTCACGATCCGCGACTCGGGCGACATGCTGCTGCAGATCATCAACGACATTCTCGACTACTCCAAGATTGAGCAAGTTCTTCACCCCATTCACTGCCCCTGTCAACTTCCTTTTTTCCCTCCCACTTGCAGATTTTCTGGCCACCATGTCACACGAGATCCGCACCCCCATGAATGGCGTCGTGGGCATGACGGCCCTCCTTCTCGACACCCACTTGACCCCCGAACAACGGGATCGTGTGGTCACGATCCGCGACTCGGGCGACATGCTGCTGCAGATCATCAACGACATCCTCGACTACTCCAAGATCGAGTCCGGCAAGCTGGAGATCGAGCAGACGCTCTTCAACGCGCTGCAGGCCGTTGAGAGAGTTGCTGAGCTGCTGATCCACAACGCGGAGAGCAAGGGGCTGGAGGTGGTCATTGAGATCGGCCCGGACACTCCCACGTTCCTGGTTGGGGATTCAGGAAGAACACTGCAGGTGCGTACGGGGGAGAGAGAGGACAGGCATAGGGTGATGGGACTGGGTGGTTGCATGCAGCAGAGCAGAGCAGACGCTCTTCAACGCGCTACAGGCCGTGGAGTGCGTGGCGGAGCTGCTGATATTTTTTAAGAATTCTCAGAAAACCAGCGCGGAGAGCAAGGGGCTGGAGGTGGTCATTTAGATCGGCCCGGACACTCCCACATTCCTGGTTGGAGACTCGGGGAGAACTCTACAGGTGCGTCAGGGAAGGGGGGAGAGGATAGAGTAGAGAGAGGGGAGAGGAGAGGAGGGGGGCTTGAGGTGGTCATTGAGATCGGCCCGGATATGCCTATTTTCCTCATTGGGGATTCCGGGCGCACTCTGCAGGTGCGTCTGGTTGGTTGCATGCATGGAACAAGGCACGTGGACACATTATCCCCCCTGCTCCCTTTGCTCCCTACTGCTGCCATATCCCCCTACTCCCATGCCCCTCGCTGGCTCCACCAGGTGCTAATCAACCTCGTATCCAACGCCATCAAGTTCACCGAACGTGGACACGTCATCTTCCGCCTCTCCTCCTACACCGCCCCTGCCCTCCCCTCCTCCCCGTCTCACCCCGCTCTCCCCGCCTCCTCCTCCGCCTCTTCCACCACCACCACCCTCACCACCAACACCTCTGCACCCAACAGCGGCCCATTGGTACCGCAGCAGTTCTGGGTGTGCCAGGTCATTGACACTGGCATCGGTATTCCCAAGGAGCGACTCGGCCGGCTTTTTACTAAGTTCTCTCAGGTAAGCGCTGGAAGGAACGGAACAGAGCAGCAGGCTTGACTTTGTGGGCTGGTCGATTTTTGCGGCGCCTTAAAATGCGGAATGGAGCTGTGCCCTGATTGGTCTTTGTTGAAAAGTCCATCTCTGGGTTGACTCAACAGTCTGCTGAATGGATTATGGAGCATGGGGAGGGGAGGACCACCAATGGCAATTTTTTAGGCGCCTCAAAAATCGTTTTGAGGCGCCTCAAGAATGGATTATGGAGCATGGGGGGGACCACCAATGGCACAGGGACCAACCTGATCGATGAGGTCAAGTCAACGCACGAGTTCAGTCAGGGGCTTAGACTGGCCTGGAATGTTCTCTTTCTCTGCTGCTTCATGCTTGGTTGCAGTGTGGCAGTGCATGAACCCCTCTTCCTGACTGTTTTCCCAACCATACTGACAGTGCATGAACCCCTCCACGCCGCGTTCCGTCTCTCATGTTGCTGTAGCGTCCTCCCCTCTCTCTCTCTCCCTTCCTCCCTCCGTTCCCTTCTGGCATTGCGTCCCATGTTTCCCATCCCTCACTCTCCCTGCCCTCCCTCACTCTCGCACTCTACCCGCTCTAAACCCACCAGGTGGATGCATCCACGACACGCAAGTTCGGAGGGACCGGGCTGGGTCTTGCCATCTCAAAACAGGTGCGTGCATGGGTGGGTCCCAGGTGGGTCCCAGGTTAACTCGTGTTCAATTCTCTGTGCGTGGGTGAGTGAGTCCAATTCATGTCCTGGTAAAGTCCGCTAAAAAACATATATTGGGTTTCCTGGTGGCGCCTTTGAGGGATGGTGAATACGAGGAAGGTGCAATGAAGCAAAAGTGGAGCAGAGCGGAGAGAGGCGTTTCCTGCCATGCTTCTGCGCGGCAGACTCGCATGAGATGCCCGCCAGACTGACAGTCCAGTCAACAGTCATCCTCTGAGGCGCCTCAAAAGTCGTCTTCATTGAGTTGATTTTTGAGGCGCCTCAAAAATCGCCTCAAAAGTCGTCTTCTGCGCGGCAGACTCGCATGAGACGCCCGCCAGACTGACAGCCCAGTCAACAGTCATCCTGACGGACCCTACCCTCTACCCTCTCCACTCTCCCCATTTTCTCCTCGCTCTCTCCCTCCTCGTCTCCTGCTAGTCGAGCTGATGGGAGGGAGCTTCACAGTGGAAAGCGAGCTCCACGTGGGCTCCACGGTCACCTGCCCACCAGCTCACTCTCTCCTCCACTACCCAATCTCGCCCCCTCTTTCTCTTTCGCTTCTCATCACTCTTCTTACCACTTGCACAGCTGGTGGAGCTGATGGGAGGCAGCATCTCAGTGGAGAGTGAGTTCCACGTGGGCACCACTTTCACAGTGCACCTGCCAATCAACGCCCACCACCCCGCGTACGCGTCAGCGCTCTCCCTGTCCACGTCATCGCTGGCCAATCAGTGCAGCAGCAGCAGCCTTGTCGTGTCTGAGTCAGCAATCCCGCTCTGCCTCCCCACGTCTTCCTCTACTGGAGGGGGGGCGGGCGGAGGGGAAGGGGGAAGGGGGGAGGGGAGGAGGGGGCCGTTGTCAGGTGGCAGCATCCCATTGGCTATCGGGAGTGTGGCGGATGAGTTGCTGAATCTGAGACTGCTGGTTATCTCGCCGATCCAGGTGAGCATAAGGATTGGTGTGTAGCATGGTGTAGAGGGATGTAGAGTGGTGCAGGTGAGTTCAGAGCACACTAGTGGCTATTGGGGGAGTGTGACGGATGAGTTGCTGAATCTGAGACTCCTGGCACGTGCCTCACTCACTCCTCATCGCCACGCCACAGGAAGCCATTCTGCTGCAGCACCTGCCAGCTGGCACTCTGCCGCCCGCCCCCGCCACCCAGCTGCTGCACTCCCTGCCCGCTAGAAGCTTACCCTACCTGCCATGTAACTTGAGCCCGCTTCCTTCTTTCCCCTTCCCTCGTTGCTCATTCCCCCCTTTCTTCACCCCCCCCTCCCCCCCTCCCCCCCTCCCCCCCTCCCCCCCCTCCCCCCCTCCTCTCTCCAGGTCACAGCGTCAGCCATATCAAAGCAGCTGACAGCCTGGCACGTGCCGCACTCGCTGCTCATCGCCACGCTAGAAGAAGCCATTCTGCAGCGCCTGCCAGCCGGCCTGCACTCCCTCCTCTCCATGCTCGCCCTAACGTGTGATGAAACCCTTTTTCCCTTTTCCGTCTCCTTCTCCCTCCTCGCCCTCTTCCCCTTCCCCCTCTATCTCTCCAGGTCACAGCGTCAGCCATATCAAAGCAGCTGACAGCCTGGCACGTGCCTCACTCGCTCCTCATCGCCACGCCAGAGGAAGCCATTCTGCAGCGCCTGCCAGCTGGCACTCTGCCGCCCGCCCCCGTCGCCCGGCTGGCGCCGTCCATGCGGTGGAGAGATGGCAGCGAGCGGGAGGGCGTGGCGGAGGACTATGATGCGGTGATGGTTGACCTGAGTCAACGCCCCACTCTGGCTGATGCTAATGTGATTGTGAGTCAACGCCCTGACGCGAATGTTACGAGGGCTGATAATGTCGCTGTGATGGTTGACCTGAGTCAACGCCCCACCCTGGCTGAAGGTTTGTTGTGAGTTGTAGTGGTTTTGGTGCTAGTGTCACAACAACTTGTTGACTTTTGAGTCGACTCAAAAGTGAGTTGTAGTGGTGTTGGTGCTAGTGTCACAACAACTTGTCGAGTGGTGGAGGGATAGCAGTAAGCAGGAGGGGTGGCGGAGGGGACTATGATGCTGTGATGGTTGACCTGAGTCAACGCTCCACTTTAGCTGATAATGCCCCACTCTCTTATCCTATCCCACCCTATACTCCACTTCTCTGCCCCTTTCTCCCCTCATGCATGGTCCAGCTTTTCAACCCAACAGGAGGTGCTGGAGTGTCTGGGCAGGAACAGGGTGGGCGTGGTGCTGCTGCTGCGGAACCGCAGCAGCTGAGGGCAGTAGAGCTTCCAGCACTCAACCCTCCCGACTCATTCTGAATCGTGGTTTGTTGCCTTCCTCTCCCTCTCCTCTCTCACAGGAGGTGCCGGAGTGTCTGGGCAGTAACAGGATGGGTGTGGTGCTGCTGCAGCACTCAACCCTCCCCACTTGTTTTGTATCGTTATCTGTTGCCCTCCTCTCCCTCTCATTGCCCACAGGAGGTGCTGGAGTGTCTGGGCAGGGACAGGGTGCGTGTGGTGCTGCTGCTGAACAGCAGCTGAGGGCAGTACAGGCTGCAGCACTCAACTCAACCCTCCTCACTCCCCCTTGTCTTCCCGGACGGCCCCTTTCACTTCAACGTTTCAACCCCACAGGAGGTGCTGGAGTGCTTAGGCAGGGACAGGGTGGGCGTGGTGCTGCTGCTGAACGGTAGCTGAGTGCAGCACAGGCTCGAGCCTTCCCACTTATACGAATGCCCCTTCACTGTCATCCTCTCCCTCTCATTGCCCACAGGAGGTGCTGGAGTGTCTGGGGAGGGACAGGGTGGGCGTGGTGCTGCTGCTGAATCGCACGCAGGTCACAGAAAAGACAGAGGCAGAGCTCAGAGCCGTCAGGCACTGGCACGACCGCTCGCCGCCTCTCCTGCTCAACAAGCCCATGGTATGTTGCGGAGGGACAGTGTGGTATTGTGGGGTGGCGTGGGGTTGGGTGGGGTTGCGCGGTCTGGGATGGTATGGTATGGTGTGCTGTGGTGGTGGGAAGGCATGGCATGGTGGATGGTGGGATGGTGGGTGGGATGGTGGGTGGGATGGTGGGTGGGATGGTGGGTGGGATGGTGGGTGGGATGGTGGGTGGGATGGTGGGTGTACATGGAGGGATTCTACATAACTTGGATTGCGTGTTTATTGAGAATTCTCAAAATGTGTGTTTTTTTAGAATTCTCAGAAAACACACACTGCGGCATGGCATGGTGGATGGTGGGTTGGTTGGTTGACATGGAGGTATTCTATATAGCTTGGATTGCATGGTATATATATGCTCTCCCCCACTCTCCCCCTCCCCACTCTCCCCTCCCCCTTCCTCCCTCCCCTCTTCGCCCCAAGGCTCTGATGGAGGCTCCAGAAGCGACGCTGAGGGCGACACCAGGGGGGGAGAGTCTGCTGCAGTCCCTGCACCCACTCCTTCCCTGTAACCCCCATTCCCATCTTCCTCCATCTCACCCCTTACCACCACAGGTCCGCCCCAAGGCTTTAATGGAAGCTCTAGAAGCGGCACTGAGGGCGACGCCAGGGGGGGAGAGCCTGCTGCAGCAGGGAGGAGCAGGAGGGGCGGCAAGGGGAGGGCGGGCAAGCGGGGTGGGCACGCGAGCAGGAGGGGGCAAGCCCAGCGGACCGAAGCTTAGCGGCCGGATATTGCTGGCAGAAGACAATGCGGTGAGTCAACGCTGGTCAACGCTGGTCAAGGCCAGTTGGTGGTGGTCAATGTGTTGAGTCACGTTCTGAAACGTCTCCCAGAGGAAATGGCCCCTTGACACATCGTCTGACCAGAGGGGCCACACAGCTCAAACCAGAAGGTGGCAAGTCAGTGCTGGTGATGCTGGGAGTGAGCATGGGCCACACCAACAATCAACCACACTCTACCGCTCTTCACCTGCTGCGATCGTGTGACCCACCCATCTGTGTTCCCAACCTGCAGATCAACCAGAAGGTGGCCAAGTCCATGCCAGCCAGCCATGCTGGGCGTGAATGTGGATCTCACCATCCATAGGCTGTTCCTCGCTGCATCATCTCACTCAAGGAGTTGCATGATGTCCCCTCTTTCATCTGGTCCACACTCAACACATCCCAATCCACAGACCAACCAGAAGGTGGCCAAGTCCACACATCCCCATCCATGCTCGCAATGCTGGGAGTGTGTGTGGAGGGGCTCGGCAACAACGAAACCCACCTGCCATTCTTCACCTGCTGCAATCCTGAGGCCATCACCTGTCTTCACCCGTCTTCACTTCACTCCCCACAGATCAACCAGAAGGTGGCCAAGTCGATGCTAGCCATGCTGGGAGTGAGTGTGGATCTCGCCAACAATGGGCTCGAGGCAGTTAACCTCTCCAAGAAGAACCAGCAACGAACCACACTCCACCGTTCTTCACCTCCTCTTGCAATCCTGTGATCCCCTCACCTGTTTCCACAACCCACAGATCAACCAGAAGGTGGCCAAGTCGATGCTAGCCATGCTGGGAGTGAGTGTGGATCTCGCCAACAACGGGCTCGAGGCAGTTAACCTCTCCGAGAAGAACCACTACAACCTTATCCTCATGGACTGCCAGGTCAGCAACCTTATCCTCATGGACTGCAGCAACCTTATCCTCATGAACTGCCAGGTCAGCAACCTCATCCTCATGAACTGCCAGGTCAGCAACCTCATCCTCATGGACTGCCATGTCAGCAACCTTATCCTCATGGACTGCCATGTCAGCAACCTTTTCCTCGTGGACTACCAGGTCAGCCACCTTATCCTCATGGACTGCCAGGTCAGCAACCTTATCCTCATAGACTGCCAGGTCAGCAACCTTATCCTCATGGACAGCCAGGTCAGCAACCTTATCCTCATGGACTGCCAGGTCAGCAACCTTATCTCATGGACTGCCAGGTCAGCAACCTTATCCTCATGGAATGCCAAATCAGCAACCTTATCCTCATGGACTGCCAGGTCAGCAACTTTATCCTCATGGAATGCCAAATCAACAACCTTATCCTCATGGACTGCCAGGTCAGCAACCTTATTCCATGGACTGCCAGGTCAGCAACCTTTTCCTCATAAACTGCCAGGTCAGCAACCTCATCCCATGAACTGCCACGTCAGCAACCCTAGTCCATCTCTTCCCCGTTCATGTTCTGGTCTTATTCCCCAATCTCTTGCCCATTCCTATTCCGAATCTGTGTTTGTCCATGCCCACAGATGCCGGAGATGGACGGGTGGACGGCCAGCAGCAAGATCCGAGAGCTGGAGGCGGCAAGAGGGCAGCCACCAGTCACAATTGTGGCGCTCGTGAGTTCTCTCCCAAGCGCCAGTACACCAGCAGGGCACCTCGCTGCTTCCTCGCCCGCCTTATCTTCTCACCGCTCTGCTTCCTCGCCTGCCTTCTCTGCTCGCCTCCCGGCTTCTACTGCTACTTGGCTCCGATTGACTAAGCTCCCTAAAGCCTATTCGTTTTGTTGTCTCCAGCTGTAGTCTTCCTTTCTGATTGGTTACCATTCTCCTCCTTGCCCTGTTAAAAATCTCCCCACGTGTGTGTTGTCAGACGGCCAATGCGCTGAAAGGCGATCGGGAGCAGTGCTTGGCAGCTGGCATGACAGGTGAGCAAGCAAAGCATGTGGCACAAGAGCATGCAGCACAAGAGCATGCAGCACAAGAGCATGCAGCACAAGAGCATGTGCCAGAACCAACTATCTGGTGCACTACCTTCCCTTCCTCTCACTGCTCTCCCACATTTCCTCCACCCACTCTCCAACCTCCCTGTCGTCTTGCTGTAACGCTCATTATCCTTCTCTCTCGCTTCCTCCTTCCCTTTCCCCCTTTCCCCCCTTGCCGTAATTTTCTCCGTCTCTCCCTCCCTGCTCCCCTCTCTCCCCTCATCAGACTACATGTCCAAGCCAGTGAGCAAAGCAGCGCTGGAGAAGGTGTTGCGGCACTACCTGGTGCCCGCCTGACTCTTTTAACCTTCACACCTCCTCAACGTGCTGTCCGATCCGCCCTCCCTGATACGTGTCCACCTTCCCTCTGCCCATGCTTCTCCCCTCTCTCCCTCTGTTCCTCTCGCCAGACTACATGTCAAAGCCGGTGAGCAAAGCAGCGCTGGAGAAGGTGCTGCGGCACTACCTTGTGCCCGCCTGATGAGCACCTGATGCAATCTGTGAGGCGCCTAAGCAATCGACTCTCGTCACACGCGGGCTCCTATCCTAAGGCGCCGCAAAGCAGCAGTGGAGAAGGTGTTGCAGTACCACTGTACTACTACCTTTTTAAGCTGACGATTTGTCCGCTACTGACAGCACCAGCAGTGGAGAAGGTGTTGCAGTACCACTGTACCACTACCCTGGTGTCCGACTGATGCGTCCACCCTTCACACCGCCTCACAGCTTTATCCACCCACCCACCATTTTGGTGCATCTCGTCCCTCTAGATTCACCAGTTATCGTGACTGGTGCTGGTAGTAGCCTCATGTTCCAGCACCGCACTGCACCGCAACGAACACAGGGGCACCTGTGCCGGCTGGAAGCAGGACTGATAGTGCTAGAGTGGCACCTGTACCGGATAGGTGCAATGCAAGGCTGTGATGGATAGTGAGAGTGGATGGCACCTGTCATGGGCAAGGTGCTAGTAGATTCATCAGCCTGTGACCAGGTGCCATGGTAGGTGAATGAATGCAGCGATGCATACAGCACAGATGTCAGAAGTGTTGGAATTAAGGTTAATTCGTGTTGCTCCAATAAACATATGTAGTGGTACATCTACACTATAGTAGTGTAGAATACATTGGTTGGGTTGGGAGAACTTGTGGTGTATACTCTATAGAGTGGACCACCTCCCAAACCTTATAGGTTAGGGTTCTCTCTTGTTGGAATTTCACTTCTTGGAAACCATTTTGGTTCTAGCATGGTTCATGCTCAAGTGGGCTCCTAAGATTTCTAGGCTTTAGGAGGAAGCTCTAAGACTACTAAAGCTTCCGCTAGTAGCTTAGTCCATTCTAACATGGTATCAGAGCTAGGAAGGCCTAACAATCTGTTGGAATAGGAGCTACTCAAGAAATGTGATCATAACACCTTGGTGGAAGCTAAATAGCTTCCATCCCTCCCGAAAAGCTGCCGAAATTGCACCGTGGCGGACTCAGGACGTGGGAGGGGAGGAGAGAAGAAAACTACTGGAAATCGCGTGGATCCGTTCGGGAGGACGAGAAGAACGACATCCATTCACTGAGGCGCTCAGTCAACTTTGGCCGATCAAGACGTAGAGCATACCGTTCGAAAGGCCTCGGCACGATCTACAACAATTGCCCCGGGTCGTTGCCAATCGACGAGCGGATCGGACGCAATTCGCGAAATACAGTCGGCGGACGAATTGGCAAATCGCGAATCGGGGAAGATTTAAAGCGCGGAAAAAAAAATGGAGGGCAGACGCCGACAGAGGAGGCCACGGCGCATCCAACAAGCCAAAAATCGGGAGAAACGGTCGAGTCTTCGTTGACGGGAAATCGGCCAACTTCGACGAGTTTAAGCGGCCAGCTCGGACGCGGGATCCAGGAGCGCGATACATCATCGGAACGGTCTCGTAGCAAGGATTCATCTGAGCCAGTTGGCTCATCATTCAGACGTTTGAGCACGGAGTTACGCTCTAATAACCAAGAGGGTGTGAATCTGCCCGCATCATCTTCACCGTCACCGCCGTTGCCTCCACCACCACCTCAACGTCAATCTTCAGCGCTCCTGCCGCAAATGGATCATGACTCAGGCGAAGGGAAGCTGGAGAGTGCGCCAAAGTTCGACGAGAGCGACTATTGGACTTGGAGCTTCCGATTCGAGCAATGGGCAGAGGCACACGATCTATGGGGGTACTTTGATGGTTCGGAGGAGCGGCCTGCATCGGGTGACGCACGGCTAAAGTGGGAGAGGACAAATCAAAAGGCATTTGCCCAATTCTGCAATGCCTTGGTGCCAGATGAGTTGATTCGCTTGGTACGGGGGTTCGACGGCAAGACCGAGTTGGGAAACGCACCTGTTGATGGCGGAGCAAGAGCGGTCACCCGAGTTCCTGCAGGCACAGCAGCGGCATACACACGAGTGAAGGAGTTCTACCTTCAGCGTGGATTGTGTAACCGGATGGCACTCTCTGAGGAACTCTCTTCCTTGAAGATGAAAGAAGGGGAGGGAGTGGCTGCATGCTGGGCGCGTGCCGAAAAATGAGGTCCAAGTACTTGGCTGCAGGAGGGAAGGAGGAGGTTGAGGAGTGGATGATGAGGGTACTCAAAGGACTACCTCCTCACTTTGAGATGCTGAAGGTAGTGTTGAACAACCAATCACCATCGCTTACTAAGGATCAGCTGCTTACCTCCTTGAGGAGCGAGGAGATGCGGATTGGTGTCGCACCAAGATCGGATGATGTAGCCACTTTTGGAGCGGGTACGAAAGTGGGCAGCAGCGGCAGGGGAAATGGGGACAAGGGCGGAAAGCATGGAGGCAGCGGTAGCAGCAGTGACACCAACTCGGGTAGATGGGGTCAAGGAAAAGGCAAAGCAAGAGTGCTTGATTTCCCCTGGGGGTCCAAGGGCATGGCTCCTCGGGGGTTGTGTCATGGCTGTTGGGATGAGGGACATGCATGGCAGCGATGTCCTCATCGACCTAAGGGAGGCATTCCGGCATTCTTAAAGCGGGGGGGTCGTGGATCCAACGGCAAGGCACAGGTGGCGGATGAGGAGCAGGATGACAAGGTAGAGGCAGTGGTTGGAGAGGCAGTTGCAGCAGTGGGAGAGGAGCAGCCGCGAGAAGGGTGGTGGATTGACAGTAGGGCCAGCCACAACTTTACTCCTTATGCATCGGACTTCAAAAGTCAGCTTCAGCCACCAGAGGTTCGGGGAGTTAGATTGGGAGATGGCGACGGGTGGTGAAAGCTGTTGGCATGGGAGGTGCCAGTGGTTGGTGCTGGAGGTCAGCTGCTGAGGATTCAAAAGGTCCACCTTGTGCCTGAGATGCACACGCGTCTGCTGTCAGTCCCACACCTCAACTCTCGAGATGTCATTTTCACATTCAAGGGCAAGAAATGTGTTCTTAAACGGGGGGGGAGGGTGTTGGCGATTGGAGAAAAGGAGAGGGGCAAGGACCATGGATTGGTGCGGATGTCTCTTCCTCTTGCTCAGGGCACACAAGGCAGTGCTCTTGCAGCTGGGTCCTCCTCCTCATTTTCCCCATTGACCCTTGCTCATCGCTGCCTTGGTCACACCGCCCCCACAACATTGCAACAGAGGCTCGGGGGAACAGTTTACTGGGCTTGGAGATCGGGGGGGGAGCACTGATTGCTCCCCATGTGAGCCTTGCTTATTGGGAAAGTCGGCTCGGAAGCCGTTTCCCCACGAGGCGTCTCGGGCACTTGGGCCTTTGGATGAGGTCCACATGGATTTGTGGGGGCCAGTGCGCACACAGTCACTGGGAGGAGCGGTGTATGTCCTCAGTCTCATTGACGACTTCACCAGACGAGTTTGGTCGTTCCCACTCCCCAACAAGGAATCGGCCACAGTCGCAAAAGTCCTTCGCCAGTGGTATAAGGACGTGGAGTTGGAGTGTGGGCGGAAGCTGAAGGCTGTTCGTTCCGACAGGGGTGGCGAGTTCTTGGGGGACGCTGTGAAAGCATGGAAAGCGGAGTTTGGCATCAAAACCCAATTGAGTGTCGCAGATACACCGCAGCAGAATGGGGTCGTGGAGAGATGGCACAGGACGATGGCAGAGGGGATTCGCACATTATTGGTCGACAGTGGTCTCCCTGCTCGCTTGTGGGGTGAAGCATTGATGTGGGTCGTGTGGGTTAAGAACAGGGTCACCCACAGTGCTTTGCCTGCCTCCATCACACCAATGGAGGCGTGGTCCGGCCAAAAGCCGCATGTGGGCATGGCTCGGATTTGGGGTTGCATGGGGAGTGTCATGCTGCATGGGCATGAGAAGGGTGGCAAGCTTGATGCACGGGCTGTCATGTGTGTCTGTGTTGGGGTGGACATGGAGAGCAAGGGTTGGCGCATGCTGGACCCTTCTCTCATGCGCATTCGCATTGCTCGGGATGTTGATTTTCTTGAGAATGTGATGTGGAAGGATTGGGACAAGGCGAAGGGATTTGGGGAGCTTCTGCAGGATGCAGCTACGATTTCCCAACTCCCCCCTCTTCCACTCTCGCCACCCTCAGCAACGGCTGACGACGTTGAGATGCCACCTTCATCACGGCCACCGGCACCGCTGAGTGTGTCGGTGCAGCAGCAGCCCACCCTTGCAGCAGCTCAGTGGCCCCTCGGTCATTCAGCGGAGATCCGCTACACATGCTACTTCCTCTTCCTCCTCCTCTGGTCAGCGCTCTGTCCCTCTCTCTACGGGTGCCCCTCCGTCACCAGCGACTACCTCCCCACCACCGGTTACGGGCTTGCAGGTGCTTGGTCTCCAGTCTGGTACAGGTGGTGAGGAGGTAGGGGGGGATGCTGGTGTGGTTGAGGGCATGCTGTGTTTGGCCAGGGAGGTGGAAGGTGTTGCACTGGCAGGTGTGAGCACCGGTGATGTCCCACGCACACTCGCTGAGGCCCTGCGTGGCCCTGAGGGCCCTGCGTGGAAGGCAGGCGCTGAGAAGGAGGTAAATGCAATGCGCACTATGGGTGTATGGGATCCAGAGCCGGTCGACTTACCTCCAGGTAAGAAGGCCATTGGGGTCAGGTACGTTTTCCGCAGGAAAACTGACAAGGAGGATAAGGTGGTACAGCACAAGGTTCGCCTTGTTGCTAAGGGGTACACTCAGGAGCCCGAGAAGGACCATGATCAGGTATTTGCCCCTGTGGGCAAGCTCACCTCAGGTCGGGTGCTTCTTGCAGAAGCCACGGTAAAAGGGTGGCATGTACAACAGGAGGATGTTGATCATGCTTACCTCAATGCAGTCCTTCAAGAGGAGGTGTATGTGAGGCAACCTGAGGGATTTGATGATGGTACAGGTAGGGTGTATCGCTTGCGCAAAGCTCTCTATGGGCTCAAGCAAGCGCCTCGTGCTTGGAATGAGGAGATTGGTACCACCCTGATTGCAGCAGGGTTTGACCGCAGTGCATGTGATGAGGCTCTGTACATCAGGTTTGTGGATGAAGAGCCAGTGTATGTATTGGTGTATGTGGATGACCTCTTGCTTGTGTCTCCACGCTTGGAGCTGATCGGTCAGGTCAAGGAGGTGCTTGCTCAGAGGTACCAGATGAAGGATCTAGGTGAGGTATCCACGTACCTTGGTGTGGAGGTTCGCAGGTCGGTCAAGGATGGGTGGTTGGAGATTGGTCAGGAGAAGTATGTCCGTGGTCTCCAGGGAAGGTTTGATGATCTGCTGAAGGAGACCCATAGGGTGCATACTCCAATGTCACCCAATGATCTCTCTAAGATCAGGAATGGTACTTGGTCGATTGAGGAAGGTGTTGCAGCTGATGTCAAGGTGTACCAGAGTCTCATTGGCAGCTTGATGTATGCTGCTGTGACCACCCGTCCTGACATGTCTTTCACTGTCAACACCCTTGCACAGTCCTGCGTGGCACCAAGACGCATTCACATGCGCGCTGCACTGAGAGCACTCAGGTACTTGGTCGACACAGCTGATCGTGTCATCAGGTATGAGCGCCAAGGTGGTGAGCAGGTTGTTGGGTACACTGACTCGGATTGGGGTGGTGAGACTGATGGCAAGAGTCGCTCTGCCTACATCTTTAAGCTGGGAGGAGGAGCAATCAGCTGGAATAGCAAAAAGCAAGACAATGTTGCAGCAAGCGTTTCTGAAGCTGAGTACAAAGTTCTATCGGAGGGGGCCAAGGAGGCCATTTGGTTGAGGAGTTTGTTGGCAGAGATGCATGTGGGGGATGGGGGGGCTATTCCATTGCTCTGTGATAATGAGGCTGCTGTCTCCCTTGCCCACAATCCCGTTCTCCATCAGCGCACCAAGCACATTAAGGTGGCATGGCACTTTGTACGGGATGCGGTGCGCCAGCAGGAGGTCGAGGTGCACTCAGTACGCTCCTACCTCCAGGATGCCGACATGCTCACCAAAGCTCTTCCAAGCTTGCAGCTGCATGAGAACTTGGAGCGCATCGGCATGCGAGTGATGGCTGCGAAGGCCAAGGCTTCATTCGCTGGAGGGGTTGTGTTTTGATTTATGGGTGAACTTTAATGCTCATTGGAGCAAGGGGGGGTGTTGGAATTAAGGTTAATTCGGGTTGCTCCAATAAACATATGTAGTGATACATCTACACTATAGTAGTGTAGAATACATTGGTTGGGTTGGGAGAACTTGTGGTGTACACTCTATAGAGTGGACCACCTCCCAAACCCTATAGGTTAGGGTTCTCTCTTGTTGGAACTTCACTTCTTGGAAACCACTTTGGTTCTAGCATGGTTCATGCCCAAGTGGGCTCCTAAGATTCCTAGGCTTTAGGAGGAAGTTCTAAGACTACTAAAGCTTCCACTAGTAGCTTAGTCCATTCTAACAAGAAGCATGCGATACCGTATTACCAGTTCCGTGCTTACCGTAATACCGTTATCATTATTTATCCTGCTGCACCCAGATTCCTCCAGTGACTGAGTCCCCCCCAGCCAGCCTAGTTAGCTTAACATATTCCTGTGAGCTGGGGTGGGTTGGGGTGATCTATCTGCTTGTTTGTTAGACGACTGTCGTCTGGGAGTCGTGTTTCAAAGTTCCCCAACACGAATCGCTTCAGTATTGCCAACCGCTTGTCAAGGTTCAGATTGGGTGCTTCTCAGGAACTCTGCAGCATGTGATGTGAGGTTCGCACTGAAAGCTCTACTGAATGAAGCGCTGTGCTCGTGCTACTGTAATACGGTAGATGTACTGACATACTCTATGCATTTTGAGATATGGATTCAAACACATTCTGAAATGAAATACAGAAGTTCACAACCTACCGTATCACCCGGGATAGAAGTGCAGGCCTATGATAAGCGCATGCGCTTCTATCTGGAGCAATGCGCTTATGGCCGATCCTCAATTATAAGCGCACCCTCTGTGAAAACATTACTTATTATAAGCGCATGTACAATTTTAAATCAAGATCTAGGAAAAAAAAGCAAGCAAGGCAAGGAGGTGCACCACCACGAAACATGAGACAACTACATGAAAACACTACAAACAATTATATAAAAATTGAATAACATATTTTGACACGCTATTTACAAGGTCGTACAAACCGTGGTGCATGATGACACGAGCAAAACTTTTGGAGGATGTCCTTACAATGTCGCTGCCTCACCCATGAACTTGAAATGGTCAAGGCCATACGGGTCGCTGCTTCATCTCCCCGCAGAGCGCATTGTCATTATTCGGATGAGACACAACAATATGCAAGCCTAGCGTTTGCAGTACATAGGTAAGAACAATTTTCCGAATGTTGATCTGTGTGCTTGGGCCCGTAACCTGTAAGGCAGTGAAGCTCCAACACTTAAGCCGAGCATCCTTGGTACTCGTGATGTTCTTCCAATCATTGCTGACGAAATTTTGCCAGCAAGGCAAGATGATAAGATGCCCATGCAAGGCTTAGCCCCTCCAGACCTTATATTGTTGACACGCATTTTGAACCAAAAAAAGCAGCCACTTGCAGAGGTCCTATCATCGAGGCAAGGGCGAATAGGAGGGACAGGAGCACCACGCGTTGATTCATGGCTCCTCACATGATATTTGTGCAAGGTCAGGAAATAAAACACGTTCACCCTAAAAGTGAAAAAATTATAGATAGCAACCTGGTTTCCTGAGAGCCAAGAGATGATCAACTACGTTGATGGCAATTTCTGAGAGCATTTGCAGGGATGAACTGAAGCCAACTATAGCTAACAAACAGCGAACTTACTTTATTCCCTTCATAGTTATTTTTCCGGTTGCTCCTTGGTCGCCAACCACTTTTCCGATGATACGAGGGGGAGTGAGCCTGGCCACAAAGCGCACTGGAAAGGGAAGGCAGGGCAGGTACAAAGGTAACCAGAAGAACACCCAAGTAGTTTTCGCTTCTGGTCTTTGGATGATTGGTCCAAGAGAGTTAGTAGGTGCGTTGATGCTCGTGAATGATGGTTGTGAGCCAGACTTTCTGTTCTAGAAACAGCCGGTGGAGTAGTACCAGTAACAAACGGAGCACAGGCCGACACCTCGCTGCTGGAAGCTACAGAGCGTTCATGAAATCAATTGATGTGTCTCCAAGAATACTGAAAAACATTAAGCACTTACAAAACACCTTTCTCTTCCTGAGGAAGGCTGTGGGGGACGCTGAAGGTGATGCTGGGGGGGTCCTTGGGAGTGATGATGACGTTGCAGACTCTGCACCCACCTTGACGACCGTTACAACTGCACAAGGCACAAGCACCACCCAAGACGAGCATTAATCAGAAGGCCGCACAGCTGTGCATCGGATGCACTTGCGAAAGGGCGTTGATGGGCGCTCACATATTAGTAGTACCCAGCTAAACACAGGCCGGTCCATGATAGTAGGAGATGACAGAGAGACGAGCCGTTGATATTACAGTGCTAGAGCTGTTGATGATTTTGATGTACTAGTACTTTAGTGGCCGTAACAGCATCATGTTCAAGGTTTCAGAAGCGAGCAAAGATGCGGGACTAGGTAACAACGCGATGTTCAAGAACAGCCACTGGTTCGTTCCTATTCATGCAAGTGGGCCTTTAGAGAAGTTTGTCGTCCAAGAACAACCCGATGTTTTAGAACAAGCATCTTGAGAGCAGTTTTAGTAATGTTCTTAGACGGATCATCGTCGTGCGAGCCGCGTGAGATTTTTTCACATGATGACGAAGGTGCCAGGAGAAGGGCAGCAGCACATGCACAAGCACAAACGATTCGCGCTGCACATGTTTAAGCAGGCGGCGGGAGGGAGGATGGTCACATATGGAAAGGTGTCTAACCTTCCATGTTCTGACACGTGTGCTGAGTTGTCGGATTTCTCTCAGTCCAGAAGCTCGCCTTTGTGCGAGACTAGGCTAGCTTCTCCCAACGTATCTCCCGCTAGACAACGGGCCGATCGAAGGTTGATACGAACGTAAGATTTGAGTCGGAAGAAATAGGGGAGGTGAAGCAAGGGTTCGTTAGGGCGAGGTCAGCGCGTTCGCCCTGACCAGAACCGACCGTAAGCAAAAGCGAAACTGGCGTGCTTGTCGGTGACGTTTTCTCGCGAAGATGAGTTGGCAAGCGTGGCCAAAATAGTGACTCCCGGCGCTATAATATCGATAGGACTGGAAGCTCCTTAGAGCAGTTCGGTGATAAGCTTGGACGAATCACCGTCGTCCCGACTCGCGCGACGTGAAATAATTCACACGACGATGATGGTGCCAGCAGCAGGACCCAAGAAGCACGTGCACAAGCAGGCGACTCGCGCTGCACGTGTCCAAGCGGGCTGCTGGAGGGAGGAATTGTCACGACGACATGGAAAGGTGTCTGCCTTTCTTGGTTCTGACACGTGTGAAGGTTAGGGCGCGTAACTTTTTCACCTTTCATCGTCCGGACGGAGTCCCCGTCCGGAC